CCAGCCACCTCTTTCTCTGTCTTCACCTTCTTCTTTTACCCTCCATCATTCCCAGCATGAGGCTCTTCTCCAGTGAGTCTTTCCTTCTCATTAAATGGCCAAAGTTTTTGAGTTTCATCTTCAGGATCTGGCCTTCTAAAGAGCAGTCAGGGTTGATCTCCTCTAGGACTGACCAGTTTGATCGCCTTGCAGTCCAAGGGACTTTCAGGAGTCTTCTCCAGCACCATAGTTCAAAGACCTCAATTCTTTGATGCTCAGTCTTTCTTATGGTCCAACATTCGCAGCCATACATTGCAACTGGGAAAACCATAGCCTTGACTATACGAACTTTTGTTGGCAGGTGATGTCTCTGCTTTTTAGCATGTTGTTTAGATTTGCCATAGCTTTCCTCCCCAGGAGCAAGCATCCTTTAATTTATTGGCTGCAGTCCCCATCTGCAGTGATCTTGGAGCCCAGAAAGATAAAACCTGTCTCTACCTCCATTTCTTCCCCATCTATCTGCCAGGAATTGAGAGGGCCAGATGTCATGATCTTAGTTTTCTTAATGTTGAATTTCAAGCCAACTTTTGCGCACTGATAGATAAATAGATAGATAGACAGACAGACAGACAGACAGACAGAACATATAGAATGAAATAGACGTGAGCAAGATAAGAAAGATAAGCAAGTGAGAGTGAATATTGGAAGGGAAAGAGTGAAAAAGCAAGTGACTGAGATAGTCTGCCAGTTATCCTTGGGATCAGTGGTTGCTTCTTGGTAAAATAGAAGAGATTTGTTGAGAAAAATTTGTTCCATAGTTGGAGTAATGAAAACCACACTTTTTGTTTGGAGTAAAATCTTATTTTATTAAATATACAGTGTTGGAGGCAAGCAAAAACTCAACCTACCTAGTTGAAAATGAAAGCTTCACGTGCATACAGAATCAAATTCTTGCAAATTCATGATATATGAAGGAAAGTTTTACAAAGGTTGAGCGTTGTACAAAGGCTGATATAATTCATTTTACTTGCTTATCACTAATTCTTACTTCTATCCATTGTCTAATTAGCTTATCCCACACCCTTGTTTGTTCCCAGCTCAAGCAACTGCAACTGAACTTGCTCAGGCTAATTATAACCATTCTTCCTTCATGTTTTTTACTATGCTTTACAGGTAAGCCTCCACTTACCACAACCATGGGCCTAGCCACCTATGAAAACCCACCTCTTATTCCATTTATCCCAAAATAGGGAGAACAATGGGGGAATATTGTCAACCTGGCAGAAAATTTACCACTCACCAGGATGTCACACAAGACCCTCATTACCAAGGGTACAGTAGGGATTGACTATTAAGACAGAGCAAATTATGTTGGCATTGATCTGTGCAGTTCAGAGGCTAGAAGGAATTATATTAAACCGCACAACTTGATGTGCCCAGAGACTGGTGCAGCTTTTAGCTCTAGTAGGTTACAAGATATTTAAACATATCAAATTATTGTTCATGATACCTGATTTATCTAGAGTTCGGTAATAGATAATGGAGCTATTACCAAGTTGGTTTCTTGGAGTGCTTCCTGGAGATACCTGTTTTTTAATTAAGGATATTAATCTAGAGAACCTCTTTAGAGTAGGAAAGTTATAAAAGTGCATTCCAGGGATATGGTTGTGGAACCAACCAGAATGGTTTTGATTAACTAATATGCATGTTCTTACGTGGTAAATCCCTATATTCTGATCCAGATCAGGAGAGAACTTAGAACACCTGATAAATCCATCCTGTGCCAACTTTTATATTTTGTTCAATATATGTTCAAAGATTAAATACTTCTATATGCTATGCTACGGTTACAGTGCTTATTTAGATTATATGGAATATAAATGCAATTAACTAAAATCTTCATGTTCCATAAAACTTGAATGGAACTCTGGGGAGCATAATTATATTGTTCTATGACAGAGCTGTTAAACACTCTAGTTTTATAGCACAGTCTCTCCCAATACTGCTTATTTCCAAATAAATAGAACACTTTTACTTATGAGATAGCTCTATTGAACTAAGATTTAGTTCTAAGTAAATATACGTTCATTGATTTGGCATGAACCTTTGTTACATAAAGATAATACTCCTTAAATCAACTCACAGATTAGTTGATTGTCCTTTTTTGTCAAATGTGAAGTAAAAACTAAAAGATAAATTTAAAAATACTACCAAAGAATATCAAAGAATGAACTACTCTATTAAACTATTGAGAAATAAATAGTTTAAGAATATGCATAGAAAAGCATAAGGAGAGCAAACCCTGACTATGCAAAAAATCAAGTGATTTGCATATTTCCCATGCAAAATTATGAAAACATTCATACAGTGGGGATTTTGAAAGTAAATGTTTTTTCCCCTTAAAACCAACAGCAATGTATCTTACTGCTCAGCTGCTGTCTATGCAGAGAGAAAAAAAACATAATAGCATGTTTAAACTAAAATAATTACTCCCTTTCAATATTATTATTGTTTTGTTTTGCATTGTTTTCTACAGACCTCCTAAAAAAAATAGACTAATAATTACAGGCATTTGAGAGTAGAGTAGAGCAGAGAGTAACAAGTTTAGTATGTACAATCTCCTTTTGGGGGGGGGGGTTGCCTTTACATCAACCTTCCCCCAAAGTCTGTCGTTTCTTGAATTCCCCAGTCTATAAGACCACTGCAGAGAATTTTGGAAGCTAAAGTCTACAGATCTTCAAAAGGCCCAAGTTGCAGTATCGCTGCTTCTTTTTCTGTCTTGAGAATATATTTAAACACATGCCTCCAAAAAATTGCATCTTGCATTCCCCACTCCACTTTCACTACCACCTTGCAATTTAGCCTGAGAAGCAGCTTAATGAGTGCTTGTGCAAGTGAGGTGGAAGAAGAGGGATATGCAGATGGTAGGGAAATGCTAGGGCAGTTCTCAAGAATAGAACATGTGTCTGACTCTAGAGGCTAAAACTTCTATAATTAAGGAAGTGGGGGAAACCTGCACTTCTTAAAATCTTCAGTATTTCACACACAACTAAAACTCAAGCTTGAAGTACAAGCTGATGAGTGGCTTTTGGGGCAGCATGACCATTTCAAGATCTAAAAGTGTTCTCCTAGTTTTTATACAAGGAATCATACTTTCTGAGTATTAACTATGAGTGTTTTGTTTGGGGAATTTTCCTGAAACTAATATGTTCATTGCCTTGACTATTGTCATGTGACATTCATGAATAATTAGGATTGTAGCTGCACCAATTTAAAAACACTGGGTATAGGCTCTCAGTCAGAGTGCCCCATTACTATAGGCCACTGGAGGGCAGGAATTGACAATGTCTCTATGGAGCAAAGCGCCTACTATATTAATACATGAATTTAACATGTCTAATTTTTGTTATTTATGAAGGAACTAGAGCAGTGGGTCTCAACCTTCCTAATGGCGTGATCCTTTAATACAGTTCCTCATGTTGTGGTGACCCCCAACCATAAAATTATATTATGTTTTCCATATTCTTTTGAAAATATGTGTTTTCCAATGGTCTTAGGCGACCCCTGTGAAAGGGTTGTTCGACCTTCAAAGGGGTCCCGACCCACAGGTTGAGAACCACTGAACTAGAGGAAAGTATACCTGTTGCTCTGCCTTAAGTTTTAT